TCAGATTCTGATGAAACTTAGTGGGGTGGTTTTTATCAATAAGAAAAGCGATTCCTGAAAATTTCGGTATATAATCTTTTGTGGTTCATGTGATATGGTATTTTCATATTTTTTAAAATAAAAACTTTAGTAGCAAAAAAATTTTGTTCATATTTTGAAGCTCTATATTTGAAAAACAAAATTTCAGAAAACGTTTTAGTTTTATATTTTGTATACAATTTTAAACTTACTTAAGTGAAATAATGAAATTAAATTTTATATCCATAATGGATACTTAAAAAATTGTTTGTAAATGTAACAAGTTAATTTTTGATGAGTCAATATACAAAATCAGCTATTTAAGAAATGAAATTTTTTAGTTTCTATAAATTATAGACACAATTTCTAGAAATTTATTCATAAGATACAAACTAGTTAGAAATTATAAAGTTTTTGGTTATCTAGGAAATTATAGGCTCTGACTTAAACTTATAAAATTGTGCTTTCACTAACCACCACTAACATATTCAGTGATTTCAGAAAAAATTTAATGGAGATACTCTGTGTGTGCGTGTGTGTGTGTGTGTGTGTGTGTGTGTGTGTGTGTGTGTGTGTGTGTGTGTGTGTGTGTGTGTGTGTGTGTGTGTGTGTGTGATAATGGATACATATAGGGAAGTTACTAAGTCAAAACAATGAAATTTTGTAAGAATTTTCCAATCCCTTAACTATTCTACACCTCCCAATTTATTGGATTATCATGTTTAAATTTAGATTACAACTTATACCAAGTAATAAGAGTTATTTGACTTGCCATTGCAATACACAAGTTTGTTATGTAGTAAATATTATAAAAACTAAATATATTATTTAATAAACTTTATAAATATTATAATAAATTTTTATAATAAATATTAAAAAAACTAAAAATATTATGTAATAAACTTAGAATAATAAAAATTCATTAAAAAGATACTTAGAATAATAAAAACTGAGTTTTTATTATTTATAGATATTTAAATGCCAGTTTTATTAAATCTTAAATGTTAAATGAAATTTTGTAATCATATTTGAAATATTATGTAATAAACTTTTTATGTAAACATTCAAATAAATATGGTAGTGGTAGTGGTGTAGTGGTAGTAATGTAGTGGTAGAGCGCTCGCTTCATAAACGAGTGGTTCCGAGTTCGATCCCCACCACGTCCCTGGTAGTACCGCGCTCAACTTGTTTCTCCGCGCAGCGGCCTTGTTCGTCAAGGTTTGTGTTTCGGAGTTATAGAGTTGAGAGAGGGTTATAGCCACAAATAAGTAGCCTCCTCGTCTGTAGTGGCCTTCTCGGCCTTGAGGAGGTGAATTAAAATAAAAAAATAAAATAAAATAAAAAAAAAATATGCTTTAAAATTTTGCTCAAATGGAATATTTGAGTTTTTTCTTGAGCTCAAGAAAAAACTCAAATATTACATTTGTACAATAGCATATATAATAACATAATTGTATAACAGCATAGCAAAATTATTATAAATTAAGTTTATTTGTTTCAAACTTTAATAGTTTTGATAAAATTTTGCATAAAACATGCATTATTAAAACCAAGCGAGTATCTTCTTAATGTGGCCAAGTAAAAATATTTAAGGAAATAGACTGCTTTATGAACTTGATAACTTGATTTTTGTCACTTTAATATTTCCACAATATTGCCTAAAAACCATTTTGCATTATAAACACATGCTATATTAACTCCTGATGGTATAAAATAATGATGGTTTAATGTTCCTAGAATTGTTGAACAAGTTGCATAATGTTCTTTTAATTTAAACTTTATGCAAAATAATATAATTGCATCATTTAAATGTATTACAAAATTTATTTCTTTGATGTTTTGTTTACACCAATCATACATTTTCTCTGCTAAATTAAAAGCATTTTTAGTGATTGTAAACTTGCCCTTGCTACAAATCGTTTGACGGAGTCCCTAACACCATCACAAGCACTTTTTCCATGTAAAGTTGCTGTTCTGCAAATAAACCATGATCTCGTTTATGGTGACATAAATTAGATATGTGTTTATAATACTTGTATTGTGAACCTACTATAACAAGTACAATGCTTAAATTAAAATATCTTTTAAACATTTTATTACTTTATAAATGAATTAATAAATTGAGTTTGTATTGTGTTGTAAACGATCTGAGATGATACATAAACATTTACTTTTTATCTTAATTTCTTCCATAAAATAAATAACAAAAGGACGCAATATGTTGCTTGATTGTTGTTCTAATCGAAACCTTGTGCTGTACCTTGAATTAAAAAACTGTAATTTTCAGCAAAGTCTAGTAATACTAAAATATGATTACTTAGTAATGTTATTTTTAGATGCTGCAAATAAGCTGCTTAGTAATGTTATTTGCAAACATGCTGCTTAGTAATGTTATTTACTTGATTTTTGCCTAAATAGTGATGGTCTCTTAACTGTTATATTTGTTGCTCAATAAAATCATTCACTGGAAGATATACTGGAAATATAGCATGTTTTTTGTTAGCTTTTTGCCACTGATTAAAGGTGATTTTTTCCATGCTGTGTTTATCAAACAAAGTAAAAAGATTACTACACAGTTACAGAATCTGGGCATTAACAGTGAAGTATGCAGTCTCAATGTGTTAAGTCACATATAACTTATGTCAAGAGATCTTTAAACTCTAAAATATCTGGTATTTAAACACACACTGAGTGGAGACCTGAAGCACTTCCAATAGGATTGCACCACTTAGGTCTAAATTCACAAAATTTAGTAAATCTTGAAGTTAAAAGAAATTTCAATGAACTCTAAATAATGTTCTTTTATATTAACTAATAGAAGTCTTTTTTGATTTTTTTGAAATGTTGTCTTTTACTATCAACTAGATTGAGACAGTTTCTCCCCTAGAAATATTTCAGAGTAATCATTAGATTGGTAAAATTCATGAACTTGATTTTTTACTTTCGCACTAAAAGATCTTCCTTCATTTTTTTGATGGTTTTGATGCCATTATGTCATGCATTCGTTTCAAATACCTTGGAGTTTTTATCATTCTTAGGGAAGTGAAATATTAGTTTTGTGAAAAACTCTCAAAACAGTTGCTATTTTCTTTTTAATTGCAGTATGGATTTTTATACATCTTTTTTTTTGCACAATGTCTTTATGAGCTACTAGTTTTAGAGGCAAAAAACCAAGCTATTAATGCTTGAATTATATTTTTCTTTTGAAATACAAGTCTTATAAAATCCATATTATTTTGTTTACATGAACCTCTTTCTTAATCTTTGATGATTTCTAAATTTTAATGCACTTGCTATTTATTTTTAATTACTATCTAAAATATATATTTGAATTAAAGTTTTAAATATAAATTTAATAAAGGTTTCTATTAGTTTGACACTGTTGTTTATCATTTTACATTTGTTTATTACAAATGCAAAATGATAAATTTTATATATAAAAAAAAAGATATTAAAAAAAACAAACATTCAATATCTTCTTTGTCTTTAGTCACAGCTTTTAATTGTAGAATTCTTTGTTTGTGCATGAAGACACTTCATAAAATCAGACATTCTGTGTAAGGTGAAATGTTAAAAAGATAAGTTCTGGGTAAAAATGTGCATGTTAAAAAGTAAATGGACAGGGGGAGACTCTAATTCAGTTTAATTCAGGCTTAATTTAAGACTTATTTTAAACAATTTATATTTGCAAACAATTTTCAAGATTTTTTAGGTAACCATTATGGATATATGTGACAAAAAATTCAACATTTTACTAAAGCAAATTTAAAGTTATATATGAAAAAAACTTTTCTGAAATTTTATTTTTAAAATATAGAGCTTTAAAGTATGAACAAAATATGTTTTCGTTACTGGAGTTTTTTCTTTTGGAAAAATCAGAAACTCCAAATGTCATGCTCATATCACATGAGCCACAAAAGGTTTTATGCTGAAATCTTCAGAAATTACTTTTCTCATTAATATAAACCAACCCACCTAGTTTCATCAAAATCTGAGGTGGTCCATGTTAGAACATGGTCAACCTGGCATGGAATGACACAGCATTCTCAAGTAACCATAATCATAATGCAATAGTGGTAGAGCACTCACCTCATAAGCAAGAAGTTCCAAATTTGATCCAAACCATGTCTCTAGTACTACCTCACTCAACTTGTTTGTCAAGGTTCATGTTTTGGAGTTTTAGAGTTAGAGAGGGTTGTAACTACATCTAAAGTACCCTTCTTAACTGTAGTGGTCTTCATGACCTCAGAAAGGTGAATTGAAATTAAAAAAAAATCTGTTAATTAGGATGGAGCTTACTGCTAGTTATTGATTTCACCTGTGTTGAAAGTACATTTACTATAAAAAGAAAAAATATGATTTGCAGATTTTTAAAAGATAATTATGTTACAAGTACATAAAATATTCTTTTATATATATTTTACTTAATTAAATTTTATTTGACTTTATTAGTTTTTTTTTATTTTAATTCACCTGCCCAAGGCCATGAAGGCCACTACAGTCAAGAAGACTACTTTTTATTTTTGGTTCCATCTCTTAACTCGATAATTCAGAAACACAAACCTTGACAACCAAGGTTGCTGCGTTGAGAAACAAGTTGAGCATGGTACTGTGAGGAACATGGTAAGGATTGAACTTGGAACTTCTTGCTTATGAGGTGAGTGCTTTACCACAACACCACTACCACTGTTCTCTACCATTACACTACTACAGCATGTTCTTTTATTTACACATTGTACACAACATGTTCTTTCATTTACACATTGTACACAATATGTTCTTTCATTTACACATTGTAAACATGTTCTTTTATTTACACATTGCACACAATATATTCCTTCATTTACACAATAAACATAACATGTTCCTTCATAAGCAATGTGATACATTTTTATATCAACTTACCTCAAGCTTTCTTTTGACCAAAAAAATGTCAAAAGTATTCACAAGGCAACATAATGTAGATTTGCGCACCAAAATTTAAATAAATTTTTTCAAAGTAAAATTTTTTTTCGGTGAAAACAAAATATTAATCATATTTTGTATTCATATATCTACAGTAATCATATAATATTTAATAGACCTTGAATAGACTTTATTAAAAAAAATAAAACAAGTAAATTACATTTTTAAATTTTACATGTCGCTCTTCACTGTTTTCGTTGGATTCACTCAACAAATTCATAGCATTTATTTGTTCTAATTCTTCTGCAATAAGTTCCTCATGTTCTAACTCATTCAAACGAGCAAAAAGTTCATCATGGCTGAGAACTGGATTTTTACTTGTCACTTTTTTCATATCAACACGCCTTGGAAAAAGATTGTGTTTAGGAGTATGGGCCTTTCGTATTTTTCCTACATAAAAATTATAAGTTGATAAAACCAAACAAAATTTAGTTATTACCTGATACAGTGTAACAATCTAAGCATCCATAAAATTTAAAATTTAAATGCAATTTTAAAATAACTCTTCTTAAGGCTTTAGAAATAAAGCTAACTAAACTTTAAAAAAACCTTTTTCAAAGTATATTAAAGATAAATTAATTTTTAACTTTTTTTTAATGAATAATATTTTTATAAAAATTTTAATAAACATCCATTCAATGAGAAAAAGGATATCATTTAAAATTATATATATTTAGAATCTAGGATACAAAAGAATATATTTATATATTTAGAATTAACGATACAAAAGGATATATTTATATATTTAGAATCTACGATACAAAAGGATATTTATCAAAAATTTATTAAATTTAGTTTAAATTTAATAGTTATTAAAATAAAAGTAGCTAAATATAATTTTCAAAATTTTTGTTGATTTTTTATTTCAACATTTTATAATCAAGCTTTTTTCTACAACCCAATAAATAAACTTTAAGTGTGACATTATTGACATGGTTGCCAAAACTTAAATTTTTTTTAACCACTTTTACCATTAAAAATTTTTTTTTACCATTTGAACTAGATAAATCTTGTGATATTTCCTCTCTGATTTCCTTTATATCTTCTGTTTCCTTAAATATAAATAAGATTAAAATAGAAACAAGGTTAGCTGATGATGACGATGATGATGATGATGATAATGATGATGATGATGATGATGATGATGATGATGATGATGATGATGATGATGATGATGATGATGATTAGTGAGCTTTAATAATAATTAAGAATTATCATTAGAGGTCAACAAGCTTGTTGTGTCAGATTGCATCACAGTCATTGTTATGCCACAGTCAAGTTATGTCAGACTGCATTGCAGAGTTTTTAAGTCTCTATTTTTACACAGAGACATAAGTCTTCAAAGTCTTGAAAAAAAAATTTAACTTTAGGGCTCAAAAACTGAATTTGCTGACCACTAAATTTTTAAGACATAAAAAACACTCAACTTCAATTAATTCAAACTAAATACAAATTGAGAGCTTCAATAAAAAAACTTCAATGTCTTTATAAATCCATGCCACCACTCCTTTAGGTGAGGAGCAGGAAGAGCCTGAGAAGTAGTACCAAACTAGATATATGCAAATGGCAGGTCAAACATGAAAAATAAAAAGTACTGGCCAATCATGAAAGACTGAAACAGTCATTAGTAGTGTCTTTGTTCTATAGAAAAAAAGCCAATTGCAAATATGTATTATATATATATATATATATATATATACATATATATATTTATATATATATATATATATATATATATATATATATATATATATATATATATATATATATATATATATATTTATATATATATATTTTCTGGTCAGCTTATAAACGCGCTCTTTAAAACAACAGTTTATGGGAAAAACTTTGTGACTGTCATGCAAGACTATATATATATATATATATATATATATATATATATATATATATATATATATATATATATATATATATATATATATATATATATATATATATATATACATGTCAAATGCCTGTTTGATGGCAGAAAACAAAATCAAATAGTTTTGGAGTTGGAAATGGGGTTCGTCAAGGTAGTATATTGTCACCACTTCTATTTAACTTTTACATACACAATCTGATTTGATCAATCTCAAACCTACGTATTTGATGTAATATAGGTGGCATCTTCATGAATGTGTTGGCTTACGCTGATGATATGGTTTTAATTGCGCCATCTTGGTCTTCTCTTCAAAAACTAATTAGCTTTACTAATAAGGAATCTTCTTTAATTAACATGTCCTTTAACACAAAGAAAACTGTATGTATGGTGTTTAACCCAACTCAAAAATCAAAAATTATTTCAAACTCCTTCCCAAAATTGTGCATATCAGGCTGTAAAATTGCTTTTGTTGAATCTTTTAAATACCTTGGCCATATAATTAAAAATGACCTAACTGATGATCTTGATATAACCAAGGAGATGAAGGGTCTTTACACACGTACAAATATTTTAATTAGACCCTTTCATTTGTGCTCTTCCAGAGTAAAGGTTAAATTGTTTAAGTCATATTGCATTTGTTTATAAGGTGCTCCTCTGTGACAAAGTTATAATGATAAAAAAATAACACGTCTTCAGTATTGCTACAACAAATGTGGTAAAATGTTTTTTTGGCTACAACAAGTATGATAGAATATCTCTCATGCTTTTAGAGCACAGATTACCATCTTTTCATACAATTATCTCGAACTAAAGACATGCTTTTTGTAAACAGTTGATGGCTTGTTCCTTAGTGAATAATTCCATGCATTTACTTAATCAAAGTTTAAAATAATATTTTCCTTGTAAAAACTATGGACCTGGCACATAAATTGTATCTGCCTGTTGTCTGAAATATATTTGTAATAATAATAATAACAATAATAATAATAATAATAATAATAATAATAATAATAATAATAATAATAATAATAATAATAATAATATATATATATATATATATATATATATATATATATATATATATATATATATATATATATATATATATATATATATATATATATATATATATATATATATATATATATATACTTAATTGACCACAGCTGTTTTAATGTTTTAACAATTCTAAAGTTTTTATTTTATGCAAAGGCTTTAAATAAAATAAAAAATTAATTATAATGATTGTATAAAATAAACGCATTTTGTTTGAATTAAATTTAATTTTTTAGTAGGAATGTATTTTTTGTGATAAATTTAAACATTTGAAATTATTTAAGTAATTTATTTCAAACGCAATTTAAAATGTAACAAAAAGTAATTTTTGCTTCGAATTTGAGTTTTATATTAAAGCTTATACCTTTTATTATATCTTTTTTTTTTTCTTAAGTACTTTTAATTTTTTTTCTAGTTTAAGTTTAACTTAGCAATTCTTTTTTCAGAGCATTTCTGTTTAGATGTTTCATCAAAACATCTAAACGGTCATGGTCAAAAGTTGTGAGCAAAAAAAATCATTTGCATGGTCAACAGTAGCATTCAATCGCACATCATTCCTGTTTTAAGCCTGATATATATATATATATATATATATATATATATATATATATATATATATATATATATATATATATATATATATATATATATATATATATATGTATATATATATATATATATATATATATATATATATATATATATATATATATATATATATGTGTATATATATATATATATATATATATATATATATATATATATATATATATATATATATATATATACATATATATATAACCTTTGGAACTTAGGATAGCCTTCAGGGACCAGCCCCCTGAACATGAGTGCAGATCTTTGTAAAATACTCTGCTTACTTGTGAAGTAATTAAATTTTATGTTTAGTATGCGAATCGAGTTTTGAGTTTTGTATAAGGTTTTAAGGGGAGGAAAGATTTAGCTATATACAATAAATTTTATAGTTAAAGAAATTTTGTCAAAAAAGAAACTTTTTAAATTGTATTTAAGGTGACAAATTATTTGTAAATAATTTTAAATAAAAAATTTCTTAAAATTATTTACAAAAAAAATAGATTTATTAAGTACCCTAACCTTTGCTTCTTTAAAATAACCAGTAAATTCATTTTGTGATTTTATGTTATCATGTTCTTTTTTTAAATCACCTAATTGACCATCAATCACTACAAAAATAAATGAATTTTGATAAGTGAATCAAAAGATACATCAATACATTTTTTTTAATATAATATGAATAAAATTTAGAAAAATATATAAATTGGAACAAATTTAGAAAACCTTAAAAAAAAACTTTAACAAAAAAACTAACATTTTATTCTTCTATTGACAATTTCTTGTGCTTGCTTAGTCGATCTTTCAACAAACCAATTGTCCCCTAATAAAACCATGATTTCATTAGTGTGTAATAATTTACCAGGGAAAAAACCAACAGAACCAATCGGAACCTATTTAAATAAAATTATTTGTTAAAAGAAAACATTACCATATTGGTCGTTTTTTAATATATCAATTTTTATTTTTCATTTTTAACTATTTTTCAAAACTTTCAATTTTTTATAAACCTATAATGTATAACTTGGACATTTTTCAAAAATAAAATGGCCAACTATTATTTGCTATAAAAAAAACTATAAATTAAATTAAAAATTTAATTTAACTTATTATCAATATAACTAATATTTATAAATAATTAATAAAAAAAGTATGTTAAGCAAGAGGGATTCATTTTTTCCATCCCAATCTGCTACAGTAATAGAAATACTAGTGTTGTCTATTTTTTAACACCAACAATATCGCCAACTTGTTTGATGACAATAATCGCCAATTACAAATATTGCCAACATATTTGATGATTACAATAAATTAGGGTTACTCATCTTCGAAAAGAGGGATTAACAGGATTGGCAACTTAAAAACAACGGTTTATCTATCACTATATTTTATGCTATGGTGACAAGGTAACTCACTTCATATGAACCTCAATTTCAAAAGTCACATAATTATTATTTATTCCTCACCATTGATGTTCAGTAGCACCAAAAATGCATAAACCCTTATATCCTAAAATAAGAGTGTCCCAGATAGAGTAGCTAGCTAGATATCCACACTGGATTTATATATTATCCAGTATCCGGTAGGATAAAATAAACCGGTTGGTTATGCTGGATCTTTTATGTTAATCAATTATAAGAAAAAAACTTTTTTTAACTGTTGCTGCAGTTTTAAAGTTTAGACCCGTTAAAACTATGACATAACTAACAGAATGAGAGAACATAGAACACAAATTTTTAAGTGTTATTCATTTTAAATAATCTAACATTAATAGATTCAATAAACTATTGATTAAGTTATATGTTTTATAGTTCAAACAATTAATTTTAAGTTAAATATTCAAGTTCAAGTTAAATTGTTCAAGTTATATAGTTCAAACAACTGTGCAGAAAAAATACAGATTTTATTATCCATTTATAAATTTATTTCCACATTTTCTGTTCTTTTCATACAATTTTATATGAAAGTTTTTGACATGATTGTATAGTGGAGTGAACTGTTTAACAAGTTTTTGACATGATTGTATAGTAGAGTGAATTGTTTAACAAGTTTTTGACATGATTGTATAGTGGAGTGAACTGTTTAACAAGTTTTTGACATGATCGTATAGTGGAGTGAACTGTTTAACAAGTTTTTGACATGATTGTATAGTGGAGTGAACTGTTTAACAAGTTTTTGACATGATTGTATAGTGGAGTGAACTGTTTAACAAGTTTTTGACATGATTGTATAGTGGAGTGAACTGTTTAACAAGTTTTTGACATGATTGTATAGTGGAGTGAACTGTTTAACAAGTTTTTGACATGATTGTATAGTGGAGTGAACTGTTTAACAATTTTCAGCTAATTCTATTATTTACATGCAAGAAATTAAAAAAAAATTTAACAATTTCTTATTAAATTTCAAACATCTTATTTTATTATTTTATTTTATTAATTTTATTTTTCATCATAATTCCAAAATTAACAGAATGTCAGCCTTTTTAGACTATATTTACATCTTCTCATAATAATTTACACTTTAGTGAAAAGTTCTCTTTAACTTTCATGCAACAGTCTAAACCATTTAAACTTATTTTTCTAAACATTTTTTTAAATCAATTGATTTAAAAAAATTTCATAGCTAACAGTCTTTGAATTATGTTCACCATTTTCTTACTTCTGATTTCATTTTTTAACTCTATAATTTGTCCTTGTTTACAATACCAAAGTTGTCATAGTTAGCCTGGTTCATTGTACCCAATTTAAAGTGAATGAGATCCATTCATTTTAAATAAAGTACAAAAGTGATTTGCAAATATAACTATACCAAGCATGAGTGTCCCTCACATTGCCAAAAGATTCTATTTCAAGGTAGTATTTTTACAAATACTACCTGCTCAAATGAACTATTATCTTTAATTTTGTCTAAACTAAATCTTGTGGGATTTGTAATTAGCAAAGTTGCATACTTTTACTGTAACTGTTCCTTCATACTTGAGAAACATTCATTAAATATAGTTTTTTTTTTTTTTATATCAGTGCTTTCTCTTCCCTTCATACTTCCTTGAATCAATAATGTGCAACTAAATTTACTGAATTTACAACTATATGAAGCAAGGTTTAAAAACAGTAGTGATTTGTTTGGTTTCTTTTTTTTTGTGTGTAAAAAAAATGTAATTTAAATAAGTTTACAGTAAAAACTATGCTAAATGGCAGGGGATCAAAAGGACTTTATACAAACAGAAGCATACATAGCATCTCCTAAAGTCAAAATACCTATGTGAATAAAAAGTTTTAAATTTTTTTTTTTTTGAAAACTTGTGGTATTGGTTTTTTAAAAACTTGCAGTAGTGGATTAGATAGAGTTGAAGTGATTTCGTTTTAGGAAAGATATCAGGTTTGATCCTCATCACATCCCTCATAGCAAAAAGTTCAGTTTAAGTGCTTAACTTCTTTGCATTGCTTGTTTTATCAATAAGGTTTTAATAACAATTTTAAAAAATTTTAAATGTAAATTAATTTTTCTTTTTCTGTTTTCTCCAGATACTATCACTTTTGAATTTTGAGTTATGTGTATAGTGTAATAAATTTAAATTCTAGGCCTGATATAGGTTGTTTATTGTTTTATTTTGCTTTATTTTGAATTTTCAGCAACTTTAAACCAGTTGGAACTTCAGCAGTCACTGCGGTGCTATCAGTCTAGCTAACAACCTATGTATATGTATTAACATATTTTTTGCTCAAATGGTTTTATTTTGTATTTAATAAGAAAAATTGAAAAAAGAAAAAAATATATATTTCCCATCAGGTGGAGAATTTAAACATTTGCAAACCATCAACTTGAATTTGAACAGAAGTTGAAACTTTGGAAATTAGTTCTTTGCATAGAACACATTAAACCACTACGCTACTGAAACATGTATATGCAAAAAACAAAACATTTTAAAACAATAATTAATAAGACAATAATTTTAATTAAGTAATAATTAAATAATTTTAATTTTTTATTTTTTATAATTATTTTATTTTCATAACTTTAGAAAGTAGATAAATAAATGTTATGATTTAACTATACTATTTTGTGAGAAATTTCATCAAAAATTTTATTGTCAAATTTTAAAAGTTTGGCATACTGGTCTTCTCCATAATCTTGCTTCATATGGTATATCTTGCTTCATATGGTATACCCTAGGTCCTATTTTGTTTCTTAATTAATGATCTTTCAGATAACTTTACATCCAAAAAAAGAGAACCTTAAATCAAAAAAAGAAGACAAAAAATATTTTTTTTCGATTGCTTAGAACAGGCAGCCGATTTGAATCTGATCTCACTTTTGTAACAGATTGGGGCTCACAGTAGCTTGTAAATATTAACTCTAAAAAAACAACTGCAAACAACTATCACAATCTTTTAACATTTATATATTAATGAATGCAAAACTCTCACTGAATCCTCTTCTTTACATCTTTTTTGATTGTTTACTACTGACCTTTCATGGAAACCAAATATACAATCGATTGCTAAATTAACAATCGATTACTAAATTAACATCCGCTAAGGTTGCTTCTCTTTATCGTGCTTGCCACTTTCTAACTCCTGATTTTATTCTCTACCTATACAAATATCTTATTTATCTCTGTATAGAATACTGTTGTCATATTTAGGATGGTTCTTCTAATGATGATTTTTCTCTTCTAGACAAGGTTCAAAAATGCATTGTATACCTATTTGAACCCGCTCTTTCTCCTAAGCTTGAGCTTCTTTCCCATTGTTGTAAATTTGCATCTCTTACTTTTTTCTACAAATACTATCATAATTGCTACTCAAATGAGCAATCATCTCTAGCTCCATCAACTACAACTCATTTTGGCTTAACTTGCCAGCAAAGTCTCATTTGTTTGTATCAGTCCCTGCATGCTCTAAAAACTTTTATTTATCTAGTTTTTTTCCTCGCACTTCAACGCTTAGGAACTCTCTCTTATCTTTATGTTTTCCTGACTCATACAACTTTTAACTTTTCATGTCTTCTGCCAATGGTTTCCTTGCGATATAACTATATTCTTTTTTTAACTAGTAACTCTCAACTTAATAGTGGTTGTTTGCAGTCTTGTTTTTTTGTTGTTGTTTTTTTCATCTTCGCTTTCAACATGGCTGCAAGCAACCACTATAAGAGTTGGAAGTTACTGGAAGAGAAAAGATGAAGATTGTAGAGCAAGATAACGATTGACAGATGACTTAAAAGATTGCAAATTATATGAATCAGGAAAGCAAGATGAAGGAAGCAAATTCCAAAAAATTGATGTTCAAGGATAAAATAGACGAATAAGAGTTTTTAGAGCACTGAGGAACAGTCACATAAAAAGGATGAGAATAACGAGTAACACGAGAATGAATTTTAGTAGATGGCACAAGAGACGCTAGCTCTTTAGAGCAGTGCCCATTATAGTATTTGTAGAAAAGAGAAAGAGAAGCAGCATTACAACGATGCGATAATGGTTGGAGGTTGGCTGCAAGAGCAGGTCCAACTATGTTTACAATGCATTAATACGTTAATGCCTTTACAATGCTTAGTATTGGCAATATGTGCAAAGACTTTCAATAAATGAAAATACAAGGGGGGGTTCAGATTAGAGAAAAGGAAATTTTTTTAATGGCTTATTTGGCAGTGGAACACTACCTGCCAATCTCAAGGAACATGCTAAACTTGACAATCTTTTATAAAGGTGATAATAATTAAAGAAGTCCTTGGTCATCTTCTGAATGGTTAAAAAAATTGTTTGGAGCAGGTAGGGTGGTCCAAAAAAAAAGTTTTTTTTTTGGACCACCCTACCAAAAAAAAATTTTTGGCTATAAATTATAGAATTACAAATTATAGTTATATAATATAATATGCTAAGGAAGATTTGAACACTCACCAAACCACTGAGTTATCGAATATATGCGTTTAGGAGAAAAACAAACCATTTTATGTCTCTTATAAGCTGTTCGTATGCAAAAAAAGGTGCCCGTGTGCCTAACAAATTTTTCTGTTGTTTTTAGAAATACTTTTAGAAATGTTTTTAAAAATGTTTTAAGAAATTTTATGCTTCTTTAAAAATTCTCTCCTTTTCGTTTGTTATAGTATAAACCTCTTTATATTTGTTATCTATAGAATTCTCTCCCTTTCGTTTGTTATAGTACAAACCTCTTTATATTTGTTATGTATAGAATTCTCTCCTTTTCGTTTGTTATATTATAAACCTCTTTATATTTGTTATATGATATCTATAGAACTTCAAAAATGTTTTATTTTTTACAAAATTAAAAAAAAAAAAATGCAAGCACAAAGATTTGAAGCACAGCAATGCATTTCAGAAATGCTGAGAGCTAACCACTTAGCTCATTAAGGTGTATTGTACAACAAATGTTTTAATAGTATTTAATAAACAAAAGACTTTAAAAAACGGCAAGTTAATGCTATTAATCAAAATTAAGATTTTGCCACAATGCAATTTTCAAGTAAAAGTTAAATTGTAAAACTATATGTTTTAACATAACATAATTTGAAATTTACGTAAGTTAAACATTTGCATATACTTTCGTTCACATTCTCTTATAAAATAAGTGCTGCGACTTGTTCTCGCCATTACCTCATTTGCAATGGATGCCAAGAGTTTGGTGTCAAACATGCTTGAAAGGACACTACTGTTAACACTATTAAGCTCAGCAATAATATAAAGATTCTTTAAAACGGAGTAATAAAATGGTTAATATTTTTGAATAAGCCATACATTTTAAGTTAAATTGTGCATTTTTAAGAGCATCATTTTAATAACCCAATTTTATCCAATTTTACCCAATTTTACGCACTTTTTTATATCTTTAACCCTATTTTTATTTAAATTATGAAACTATTAAACTATTATAAAAAATAATTATAATTATAAAAATTATAATATATTATAATATATTATAATATTACCATAAAATTATGTGATGTTTGATCAGCAAGTGTATTCAGTTTATCCTTCAACTTGCAATAGTCATCTCGTAAACCCATCCTGTGAAAATAAAAATAAACTATATAAAATTTGTTGTAATTGGGATACGAAAAAAAGAAACTAAATTTGCCAAGATAAATAAAAAAAGAGGTGAGAAAATACATCATTGTCAAGTATTGACTAAGATATATCATTGTCAAATATTTACCAACATATATCATTGCCAAGTATTATTAAAATAATATTGAGAATATCTTTAAAAACAATTTTTTAATTTAACGAACAACATAAATTGACTAATTCAAGTCAATCTTATCACAGAAGAAATAAAAATATATCTTTTAAAGTGCTTATAAATTACATTTTTTTAATTAAAATAATAATATCTAACTTTTTAAGCATCAATAAGCTAGTACAACATCACAGTAAGGAGTCACTGAAACCATTATTAGAAGTAGTGAAGTGGCAAGTTAAAAAAACCTTATCATAATGAATCAAGTATATTGAATATGTATAAGCATCTTGAGAGCGTTAAAATGTTTGGTGGAACACATTTTATACTATATTTCATATTTTCAAACAAGTGACAAGTTTTTCATAATTTCAAATTAGTGACAAGTTTTCATTTGATAAATTATATTTTTAGCTTAAAAATATAATTAATCAAATGAAAACTTGTCACTAAGAAAAAAATTTTTAAGGATACCTGTGTTTTCTTGCATTTTCATTTTGTTCCAAAACCTTTAGTAATAAAGTTTAAATTGGTTATATAACAAAAAAAATTAGAAAACTCAAGTTAAAATTTAAAATTCTTTTCAACCAAAACTAGTTAACAAGAAAAAAATTACTTTTTTTTGTTCCTCAATCAATTTATCCAAATGAAGTAAGTCCATTTCTATTATTACTAAAAAATTGTATCAAAAATAAATTTGGTTTATATTTTTTATTATCTGTAGTTACTATAGTCATGCAGTTACTAACTATATATATATATATATATATATATATATATATAATATATATATATATATATATATATATATATATATATATATATATATATATACATATATATATGTTTACAGTAATTACATATATATATATATATATATATATATATGTTTATAGTAACTACATATATATATATATATATATATATATATATATATATATATATATATATGTTTACAGTAATTACATATATATATATATATATATATATATATATATATATATATATATGTTTATAGTAACTACATATATATATATATATATATATATATATATATATATATATATATATATATATATATATATATATATATATATATGTTTACAGTAATTACATATATATATATATATATATATATATATATATATATATATATGTTTATAGTAACTACATATATATATATATATATATATATATATATATATATATATATATATATATATATATATATATATATATATATATATATATATATATTACTATAAACATGATTTTTTTAACAACTTTTACATTGCCTTAACATTTTTTGAAATATTTATATAAACTCATAACTTTACAGACTGAACATCTTAATTTTTATACATAATTAAGATACTTTGTTTACATATAACTTACTTTGTTTATACATAATTAAAATACTTTGTTTATACATAAATAAGATACTTTGTTTACATATAACTTACTTTGTTTATACATAATTAAGATGTTCACTTTTTTTACTGAAGATGTTTAGATGTTCAGCCTGAACATTTAACTAATACTGTTTTAAATTTTTCATGTATGTGTAAAAAATTTTTCTAATTTTTTTATTTTTAAAAGTATATTAAAAAAAAAAAAAAATATTAGTTAGTACCTGTTACTAGTAATTAAAAAACGTTTTGCTGATAAAATAAGAAAACCCCAACCCTCCCCCTTCTCACCAAAATTATTTATATTCAAATAAATTTAAAAACATTTAGAAGTTTTAACTACTTGAGTTTTTTAAATATCGTGACGAATATTAGGGTTCTATCTCCCTTTTGTAACGTTAAGAGAATTTAACAAAACTTGTTATACTCTCTTAAATTTTTAAAATTTAAAGTAAAAACATGCTAAATTTGTTAAATGAAAAGGTTAAAATATCAAATTTATTAAATTTATTGCTTAGAACACACATTATTTATTATTTATTAAGTAATATAAATTGTTAAAGACAAAATAGCATATCAGTAGATGAGAAATATAAGGTTCTAACTCCCAATTTTCATGGTAAAAAAAATCTAATTTTCTATTTTTATTTATAATATTATTTTTGTATTCAAAACTATATAATTTTAGTATATTAATTTTATTATTATTATAATATTTAAAAACATATGTTTTTGTTTTTTCATTGTTAACTTCAACCTTATTTAATAAAGTTGTAATTAACAATCAATTAGTAAACAAACAATTTTAAAAATTATAAAATTAATAATGTAAGATTAATTATAAAACATAAATAACATAAAAAACATATATTTTATAAATAAAAACAACAACAGTGGTAAAATAATTAAATAATTAAATTCTCAACGTTAAAAAACAGAGATAAAACCTATTATTCTAACATCGCGTTTAAAAGTGAATTTATCATCGCGAATAATCAGTGGGGTAACCTAGTTATAATAGCTATAAAAATACTTCACATAATTAAATATAAAGTTTGAAAAGTTATTTTTGATCTCGATAAAAAAAACTTCATATTTGTGTAATAACAAACTTAATTATCCAACAAATGTTTCATTTTGTAAAACCATTTTTTAAACACTCATTTTCAACCAATAGTTTTATAAAGTGTCTTATATACGAATATATATATATATATAAGTTTATATATGCCATTGTCCAAGCTACAGCTTTGTAGAATGGATGCCTGTGTATGCCATTATCCAACAAACCTAAAGTAAAAATATAAAGAAAAATTAATTAAAAATAAAACTACTTTAAATTTGTGTTTAACTATTCAATTAAGAAATACAATTGAGAATATTTTTTTCTTATTTAATAGATTGTTATTAGATAATATTATAACTATGTGTGTGTGTGTGTTTGTGTGTGTGTGTGTGTGTGTGTGTGTGTATATATATATATATATATATAAATATATATATATATATATATATATATATATATATATATATATATATATATATATATATATATATATATATATATATATATATATATATATATATATATATATATATATATATATATATATATATTAACCTCCCCAAGACTACTTTAATTGTGGCTACAACCCTCTCTCAACTCTATAACTCTGAAACACAAACCTTGACAAACAAGGCCGTTGCAAAAATATAGCATAGAAAGCATGTCTAAACGTCTAAAAGCCGTTATTGTAGCAAAAGGTGGCATTACAAAATATTAAGATTATTAGCTTATTTGTTATTTTAAAACATTTTATAAAAAAATTAAATAGCTATGAAGAAGTAATTATGCTGTTTTATATTCTAAATGAAGCCCTCTAACGATCAAAAGGATAAAAAATAACTACAAGATACGTATTTATTCATTAAAGTGTTAAATTTTATATTTAACTTTATAAAATAAATATGAAATGAGAGGAATTTCTCACAAATTTCTTATCTTCACAGTTTGTTTCCACTAATGACTCAAAATCAATTCAAATAAAATGTTGTAATGGTGTTTCCCAAAGGCTCAGTATTAGGCCTCTGCTTTTTCTACATTAATGACCTTAATAACTCCATTAAATTTGTATGTATATTTTATTATTATATTATAAATATGTATTATTATATATATATATATATATATATATATATATATATATATATATATATATATATATATATATATATATATATATATATATATATATATATATATATATATATATTACTATTATATTGAGTATACATATTATTATTGTATATTATTATATACAAATAACATATATTAGTATTATTTGTGTTATCAACCCTCGGAATTAGGAAAAATTAGGTCGACAAATTATTGCCGATCTCAATCTTTTTTAGGTTGGCATCAGGTCGGCAAAAATTATTTAATACAAAGATCATAATGATAGAAGGGAGGTCGGAAATTTTTGCCGACCTTAAACACTTTCAGGTTAGCAGCTAGGTCGGCATTGCCGAATGCCGACCCTAATTCTGAGGGTTGATATATATATATATATATATATATATATATATATATATATATATATATATATATATATATATATATATATATATATATATACAACCACTATTGAGTAGCCTTCTCGTCTGTAATGGCCTTCTTGGCCTTGAGAAGGTGAATAACAAAAAATATATATATTATAAATATAAAAATAATTTTATAAAATGAGTTATCTTACTAAGAAAACAGCAAACGCATTAAACAATCCCTCTTTTAGTAACTCTTGAATTCCTCCATAATCATCCTCATCAACTTTTTGAAATTTTGATACGTAAATATATACAATAGCACAGTTTATTGCTAAAAAACTAAAAAAAAAAATTGTTTATATTTTATTAGAATAGAGATTGTCTGTCAGTATATATAATAGAAGTGTGTGTCCGTCAAGGATACAGTCCCAAAAAGAACTCTGGATTTGAAAATCACAAAAAGACTACTTCTTTTTAGTTTTTGGTATCCAGGAGCTTTGAAAATATAAAAAAGCTTATGGGCTACTAATGGGGAAAAATTCAAGACTTATATAGGTCAGAAGAACAATCAGTTTTTTAACCTGAAATCCTTAGGTATAATGGCAGCAAGGACTCCAGGACTCCAGGCTTATAAATACGGCTTATAAAGCCGTAGTCTTTTTGGGACTCCGCATCCCTGGTGTCTGTGTATGTGTCCATATATGTGTGTGTGTGTGTGTGTGTAAATAAAAATTATTTTTTCCACACTTAAAACATTGAAAATTTCCTTATTCCCTATTTTACCTGCATCTAGTTGTTCAATCTTTATTGTTCAACTTAATTTATAATACCTTTATAAACTTTAATGAATAAAGTTTACTTTTTTAATCACTAAAAAACAACCTAAGTAAAAAAAAAGTTTCAAAATTTCAAAATGGTAATACTCAAATATTTTGTCTTAAGCTTCGAATTTTGAGTTAATCAAGTGAATAAACATTTAGACGAGACATGTTTTTTGGTGAATTAAGGAAGTTTGAATACAAAATTGTAAATATGTACACAATATGTCCCCAGAACTGACCATTTCTTTGCAGTAACCAATACCGAGAACATTAATTTATATTTTTAATAACTTTTAAGCTTACTGTAACTAATTGTTTTAGTGATATTTTAAATTGTTTTTAAGACATTTTAAATTGAAAACAATTATTATTCATGGTACTGTTTTTAGTTTGTAATAAATTTTTTAATATCTTAAAAAAAAAAAACCAAAAAAGTGTTTTTTTTTAAAGCAAAAAGTCTCATCTACTCATTAATCAATCAATTTTTTCAATGAAAACAAAAAATAATTCTAATGATAGATCTGTTTAAGTCCATAAAATAATAGAAGTGATACCATGAAATATTCAGCTATTTTCTATCATTGAAGATGTAGAATTCTGATAACAAATGCTTTTGGAATAGAATACGGTTTAGGTGGGCAGAAAAAGCTGTCTGGAATAAAATAAGCAAAAAAAAGTGAGCAATTGCTGATCTATATATGCTATAGTAGATTAGTAATGTAGGAGCAAATCTATTAAATTTTTCTAAAATGTAATTAGATTTAGGAGGGCCACCTCAAATCTGAACTTTGCAACCTGATCCTAAATTCCAAAAAAATGTTTTTTCAAAATAAGTTTCACAGTTAGATAAATTTGAAGTGAAATTATATAAAATTTTCGAAAATTCTCGTTATTTTATAAAAAGCATCAGAAAAAAATAACTATTATTAAAAAAATCTTGTGAAATGTAAAAAATATCATAAAATAATAGAAATTAATTATTTTTTTATAAAATAACTATTTTTAAAATTTTTATATTACACTTTCGCTTCTATAAATGCATGTTTAGATAAGCACTGTGACATCACACTGAAATAGCCAGCTCCTGCAAAGGAGAGCCCTTACATTGACTGAGAGTTTGGGATGGGGCAACAATCTTTTCTTTTATTTATTTTTTTAATTATTTTTCTGAAAAATCTGCTTTAAAGATAAGTAAAACTAATAATCACTTGCTGATAAATATATATTTTAAAGCATATTGTTATAAATTTAATTTAAAACCACATTTAAATTCATTTAAAGTTTAATATTATTATTATCTTTTTAAATTTTTTTTTATAATTTTAAATTAAACAACATTGTTATTAGTCTTTAATTTAAACAATATTGTTATAAAAAAAAATTATCAATGGAATTGAAAATGTTGTTTGAAAAAAAAAGTTTCTTTATTTTAAAAAACTTATACTACCTATTTATTTCTAAAAACATTCATAACACTGTTGTCTATGTTTGCTTTCTCACAATTAAAACATTCATAACACTGTTGTCTATGTTTGTTTTCTCACAATTAAAACATTTATAACATTGTTGTCTATGTTTGCTTTCTCACAATTAAAACATTCATAACACTGTTGTCTATGTTTGTTTTCTCACAATTAAAACATTCATAACACTGTTGTCTATGTTTGCTTTCTCACAACTTAGTTATTTTTTTAAATGAGGCAAAATTGTTTATGTGTGAATTTCTAACCGATCAAAAATTTTCGCTTTAACAAAATTTTCGTCTACTAATCATTAAATAGTTTTTTCTAATTAACATTCATTCATTTAATTAACATTCATTCATTTTTTCTAATTAACATTCATTCTATAATCAATCTAAAAATTAATGATAATGAAAAAACTTTAGTTAAAAATTTCAAAACTAACAAAATCATTTTTCATAAATTTGTTATATAGTTTACTTAAAAATTTTTCTAAAATAATTTTGGTTACAGGCTTCATTATGGTTTATACAACTATGCAGTTATATACAGGTTTAAGCATTAAACACTTTAGTATATTTTATGGTTTGAAACTATAAATAAATAAACAAAATAGTTGAATGTAAAATGAACATAAAAATTTAATTAAAATTAAATTTGATAAAAAGAATTTTCTTTTCTTTAACATAGTTTGTAAATTTTTAAAGTAAAAAAAGACACACACACACATCACACACACAACACACACACACAAAACTATCTTAAGTCCATTTTTGGCAAAATTGACTTTGTTGGTTTAAAATACTCCTTAGGTGCACTAAAGTCATCTCACAAAGTATGGAACCAAAAATGATTCAACTTTTGCAACTATGAGTAAAACTCAAATATCTTATGTCCTAAAAAAAAATAATTGAGACATCATTGCTGTACAACAAAACTATCTTAAGTCCATTTTTTGGCAAGAAAAAAACCTTAAAACTTTAAATGTCTTTTCCTCAGAACAGCAAAATGGACTTAAGATTGTCTTGTTTTGCAGCGGCAATTTAATTTGTAGAATTTTGACATTTTATATAGTCTTAAAACTATCAAGTCCATTTGCTTCTTATAAACTTAAAATTTTATTTTTTATTTGTTATATTATGAAAAATAATAACATATTCAATAAGTATTTTAAAAACAATTTAGTTTATTGGAGAAGATCAAACGCAGTGATGAATTAAAAACTTTAAATGCATTTTTCTCAGAACAGCAAAAATGGACTTTATCAGACAGCGACGATATCATGTTGGGTCTCAAAAGAAGTGAAATTTTATAAAAATTTTTAAAATAATACAAACAATTAATGGAAACAGAAATTTGAAAAGTTTATTAATATCAATCAAAATTTTTTATTATTCAAAAAATTGTTTAATTTAGTGTTTTTTGCAAAAACAATTCCCTTCGAGATTAATTTTGCACAAGGAGTACTTACACAACTTGATCAAAACTATTCTTTTTCCTATTAATCATTCCTATTAAGTCAATAAAAAAATGTTACAGAAGTGAATAGAAAATATTTCTGTAATAAAAACTTGTGCAGAACTGCGGAACTGCAGGTTGCATTTTTTGTAAATCTAATTAAATTTTATTTATTCAATTTTATTTATGCAAGTTATAAATATTGAAAAGTTATACTAAACAATTTATTGTTTATGGCTTTTTATTTCATAAATTTATAATAAAACTTTAACTCTAACACCAACATCAAACCAGCCTTTGAAAGCTAAAGTCTCCAAGAAATCTACACAAAAACAAGAAAAATTCTTGGTAGGAAGCACTCTGTAGATGGCAAGCAACCAGTGCCCTTTAGAAAGCATGTGATCCAGCACTATCTGTTTCTTAGAGAAAAACACCCGTCTAAAGCTCCTTCAGCTTTTGACGGGTGTGTTTCTCCACGATCAAATGACTTCCAGGAAGATGATCAATGGAGCCCAAGATGTGCAGTTTGCGAAAGTTTCAAAGCAGTGAAGAACATAGAGTTTATTTGGGGATGTCGGTTTTTATAGATCGCGGCAACTAGGAAGGATGGGGTGTCGTTGAAAAAAATTTTATATTATATTATATTTATACATTATAAAATAATATATAAACATAATATAAAAATGCAATATAAAAGGTAAACTATATAAGTTCTTTTTAACCCTACTTTTGTGCCTCCACCGGCGCCGCCATTGCTGTTTTTTAAATTTCACTTATGTTAGTGTTTATCGAAGCTATGAAGTTGCTATATTTATTTTATTTTTATTAGTTATTTATATACGAACTTCGCTGTTGCAGCTATATAAGTTACTTTAAGAAAACTATTTTATTTAAGAATAGTTAAATTGTTAAAAATAAGCACTTTCGTTGTATATACATTACGTAGCAGATACAATAACATGTTTTTTTTAAAAGAGATATTGAAGTTAAATGTAATTGATAAAAAAATATAGTTAATTTAATATTTTTTTTTTTACACACTGTTTTTTTTAATACACTGATTTATTTTTTTATATATACACTGATTTATATACACTGTTTTGTTTTTTTTTATACACTGATTTATATTTTTTTGTAAAAGATGTGTTGTTAAAAATTCATTCATTCAAAAGCTAATTTAAAAACGCTATAGCGTACTCTTTTAAGCGTATTACTACGCTATAATGTTTAAAAAAAAACCTAGAGAAGAAATTAGTAATCAATAATAATCAACAATCGTTTTATTAAGTAAATAAAATACTTTATTATATATAAAGCAAATTTTAGATAATTGCTACAATTCAATTTGACGAACACCAGAATCTCTGTATTTGTCCACCAATTTCTCCCATGCGAAATCATCGAATTGATCTGGACCAAAAAAAACTATTCGCATAAGCTTGTCTAAACTACATGGTTGCAATCTATTCCGTTGCTTCGTTGCCAATAAACCAAGTACAGAAAAACCTCTCTTAATGTTAGCAGTACTAGGCGTGATTAAAAGAGAGAACTTAAACAAAACTTTTACTTTGAATTAATTTGCGAATTTCTTCGTTTC